CGTGCACACAAACATGCTCAACCCCCCCCCCTTGACAAGATGAAATTACAGATTAATCAATAAAATTAGGCTGTGTTAAACTTTACTGATCAGATCGAGAACCAAGATTATTTTCACGGAGGATAATTGGGATGTTAAGAAGCAGGTATTTCACTAATTGTGTAGTTGATAGAATTTTTATTGACTATACGATAAGCTGATAAGAGACAGCGCTCAGTCCCGGCTCACACCGAGTCCAGGAGCTACCTCTGCTGCAGCTCTGCAGTTTAAATGTAGTAAGAGCCGGGCAGGCAGGAAGCAGCCTGGCTCCTACTACAGTTAAACTGCAGAGCCGCAGAAGGCGTAGGTCCCGGACCCAGCGCGAGCCAAGCTTGCTTAGTCCCAGCTTGTGCCAGATCCAGCAGTCCCTGTTTGAAGGAGATTCCAGCGGGGAGCTGGGACCCCACACGAGGAGAAGAAGCTGCCGAATATTGAATAGCATAAAGCATTATGAAAATAAGATTGTTCTGTATTAGGAATATCAACGTGTAATCAACTATACAATTAACCGATAAGACTATGCTTATCGGTTAATCTTGTCAACTGCACACATTCCTCCCCCCCACTTGCTGACTGTATCAGCAGCAGCAGCCAGGGGGAGGGGGAAGCAGGAGCTGCCTGCCCCCCTTGCTGCTTCCTCTATAAGAGACAGCAGTGGGAGACTGGGGGTAAGGGAGGCTGCTGCGAAGCAACCTCTGCGGTGGCCTAAGCACCCCTGAACAGAGACTGCTCCGCATCCCACAGAGCAGACTCCGTCCATGGCAAGCCTGGGCCTGCTGCCTGCACAGGCTGATCCATGGCAGCAGCCCCTCTCTGCTGGGAGTCCGCGCTCCCAATGGACAGAGCCTCTGTCCGTGGGGAGCTTGGACCCCCCATGGACAGGGGCTGCTGCTACCCCAAAGTGCTGCCTTTGATACAGCTTGGGGATGCAGGCAGCTGGTCTGCATAGGGAGCTTGATTTTAAACCAGCTCCCCATGCCACCTCATGCTACTACCTCTGGTACAAATAGTATCAAATAGTCGTGTAACCACTAAGATTTCATGCACACAACTATTCAATTGCCCGATATCTAACATCCCTATTGTGTACGATAGTACTCCCTGGACAATACTGTGCCATAACTTACTCTGGATTAGAAAGCTGAGTTCACTTGAAGCCCCAAAGTTTAGTGAATTTGAGGAAGTCCCAGCTTCTCTAAATTACCAGTGTGGCAGTCTGGGTTTACTGGCATAGTGTCCTGACAGATTTTCTGCTCCGTCAATGATGATAACCAGTCATCTGTGTCCGTTTCTGCGTTTGCTCCTGTTTGCTGCATTGACTGTGCGCAGTTAACACAGCAGTTTCAAAAGAGCCCCCAAAGACAACAAAATTAGATAAGGGATTGAAGGCGCCTGGGCAGGTTTATTGTTAAACGAAGTACAATAATAGTGGATAGTAGACTCTACCCAACCACTATGCATATGTACCCCTAACAATGTACCGAATCAGTCAGTGATATAGAATAATCACTTTTAATTGGCGATCATGGCAAAACTCAAGCTGACTGGCACAGAAAGGGATAGCTTCTTTTGAGATCAGGCTACGGTTTCCATGCACAAATACGCCAAACTTAAGGAACTTAAGGAAAAAGAAGTGCACTCTTGCTCTAAAAGAATATCCTAAATCATGTCAGTAGAAAGGCCAGTCTTCTTCTGCCATTAAATTGCTGTGATCCAGAGAACACTGTCTTGTTGGAACTTTCTGTGTGAGGTGTTACTTCAGGAGTTTGCCAACTCCTGTTAAATACAGTGCAAACTCCTGAAGTAACACCTCACACAGAAAGTTCCAACAAGACAGTGTTCTCTGGATCACAGCAATTTAATGGCAGAAGAAGACTGGCCTTTCTACTGACATGATTTAGGATATTCTTTTAGAGCAAGAGTGCACTTCTTTTTCCTATCAGAAAAGCCATGCAAATTTGTGAATGAACACTTGACATCCATGGATATCCATGGCTCATTTTTGCAGGTATGGGGGCAGATATAAATTTGTATCTGGAACTCTGCCAAAATGTGGATATCCACTTATATCTATGGGTATCCACATCTGAGGATGTAGATGCTGATATCTGTGGACTATTTTTGCAGATACAGATAAGGATACTAGTTTTATATCTGTGCAGGCCTCTACCCCACTAACCCCCACTCCCTAAAAGTCAGTTGTGGGCCACTCACGTCCCCATGGGGGGGCTCAGACTCAGAGCTTCCCTTAGACTCCAGTGTGGGGCCAAAAATGAGGGACTCAGGATGCAAGAGAGGACTCCAAGCTGGCACAGGGAGTTGGGGTGCAGGAGGGATGAGGACACTGACTAGGGGTGCAGAATCTAGGGTGGGACAGGGGAGAAAAGGTTTAGAGTATAGGAGTGGGCTCTGGGCTGGGGGTGCAAGCTGTGGGAGGGAGTTAGGGTACAGGAGCAAACTCTAGCCTGGGTCAGAGGGTTCAAAGTGGGGGTGTGGGCTCTGGGAAGGATTTGGGGTGAGGAGGGGGGCTCAGGGCTGGCTCAGAGGGTTGGAGCATAGGAGGGAGTTTTGGCTCTGGGTTGGGACAGAAGATGAGGCAACTGGGTGAGGAAGGGGCTCTGAGTTGGGGGGGTGCAGGCTCTGGGAGAGAGTTTGGCTGTAGGAGAGTTTGGCTCAGGGCTAGGACAGGACGTTGAGGTGTGGGAGGGGGTGTTTTGGTGCCATTATAGATTTTGTTTGTAAAAGTAACAGATAATGAAGATAATGGGCAGTATAACGTGTTACCTTCTGGAGGAGTTGCAACACTGCTTCCAAGTCCTAAAATAGCAACGCTGTGGTTCCTTGGTGCCAGCATCACAGCAGACTCTTCTCCCCTCTCCCAGTGAGGCACTTTTACAGGCTCCAAGTTGACATTTTCCAACCTATCCTCCAACAGGGCATTAAACATGTATTTGATGGCCAACTCTAGATTTTTTGAGCCGCTGAGTCTAGGTCCAGTGGTGTCAACAAAACGTGCCAATCTTTCATAGGATCTGTTCTGGGCTTTGCCATAAACAGCTAGGTTGATAATAGCCTTGGCAATATCAGAATACCCAGCTATTTCTCTTTTAATTTCTTCAGATGGTTGTTGGTGGCAGTCATCCCTGCCTAAAGGTTTCCCTGTGCATTGTGGTAAGACATGGATGAAAGCTATTAAGAATAGGAATTTCATTTTCCCTCCTTTTCCTTTACTCGGATGGCCTGTTGGAGAGGGAAAAAACACAATTATAAATCATTCAGCTATCAACAATACTCTTGTAATTTGTATTGGCAGGCAGGCTAAGATAAAAATACATCTGATCAGAACAAACGCAAGTGGCAGAGAAATAAACTCAATTTAGAGACAGAATTATTGAAGACCAATGCAAAAAAGTTAAGTAAGCAACTGGACACAAGTGGTACTGCTGTTCAAAAGCATTTCACTGGTGTAACGTTTCTTTAAATATGCTGTTTCCATTCAAGTCTATGGGAGGTTTGCCAAGGCCTCCTCCACCAAAAGCAGGATAGTCCACCTCCCCACGCTGCTAACCCAACACTGGATAACGTGCTGAATCATTACCAATGTGCTGAATCATTACCAATGTGCTGAATCATTACCAACAGCACACAACAGATCTGGACAAAATGTCTTCTGAAACTCATTGAATAAAACTGCTTCAGACTGGTCAATCAATAATATACACTTTAAACAACACTTTTAATACCAAGATTTCAAAGCAATTTATAAATATTAAATAAAACCCAATGCCACCATGAGATAAGAAATCATTCCCCCATCACACAGATGTGCAGTTAAACTAAGAAGCAGACTTCCTAGTGAATCACTTGGGACCAGAGTTTCTCATGTCAATGGGAGTGGAGGGTGCTCACCACCTCTGAAAAGCAAGCCCTAAATGACTGGTTCAAGGCTTCTCAGCCCACAAAGCCCATAACTTCTACTGTGGAATAATATCTGGTTAGTATGCTTGCCAAATATCTGGCATGCACTATGCAGTACCCACAATTCCTGTAATCTCATATTGTAGTCTGAAGAATGATTACAAATTACCAAAACATTACTTCTCCTCTGATTAGCATTTTGAATATTGGCATTTTTTAGCCTGCCAGTCAAATAATACTTAGAGGATGACCAGATAGTTCACAATGTAATATCTCTACGTCTGAGTCCAGATATTTGCACTGGCTTGACATGTGTTTCAGGTGTCTATAGGTATCTCTGGTAAAGCTATATGCTCTAAAAGACAACACATTTCTTCATTGTCTCTGCTTTAGAAGTTCTCAGCTGGCTTTATCTCCATTAAGATGTTAACCTCTTTAAAAAAGATGGTCTAAAATACAAGTAAACTGACCCAGGAACTTCTAGAAGCATGGAAGGCTTGTAAGTTTCTTAGCCGTGTTTATTGTTAGAAAAGAATTGGAAGGTAGAATACGTAAAACTCTTTATTCTTACACTTAATAGGATAGAATTGTTACACTTTCCTCTGAATTTAAATTGAGTTTATGATGAGGTGAAATAACCTCTGAGGCCCCCTGCTGAAGGTCTTGGGTCCTGCCACTTCCTGCCACTTCCTGCCCCAGAAGAAGGCAGCAGAGAGGTCCTCTGAGCTGCCTAAAGCCACCATGTGGAAAGAAGCCAATCAGGGGCCAGCTGGTGAGTATAATAAGTGATGCTGGGCCAGAGCAAGAGCAGTTCCATGCCAGAAGTGGGAGAGAGTAAATGGTGCTCTGGGCTGGTTGCTGGGATTCCACTAGGATAAGGCTCTGAGATAATAGTTAAGAAGGTGCTGGGGCCAAAGTGGCCCAAGGAATTATAGCAGCAATGTAGTTATTGAAACAGATGTTGCAGACTACAGGGTCTGTGGCTGAGACATGAAGTAAACGTGAGTCCAGATCCTTCCTAACCCCACAGAGTGAGGCGCCCCAGAGCAGGGAACTGAACTGAACTGAACTACAGGCCCTAAGAGAATAAAGATGTTGCCTCCATGGCAGGAGCTCTGGGGCCCTGCTATATGCCAAAGTGAGGACAGAGAAAAACATTACAGAGAGTGGCCCCTGTTGGACTTGTACCCCAGAAGGGGTTTGCTTTATTTCACACAGAGACTGTGTGTTTCTGCTGGAGGGCAGAGTCACCAAAGAGCCACCACACATGGAGGGAGACTTCAGGTTAGGGATCTCACTTTCTCCCCCTCATCCCTTGCTGCCTCTATCAGAGAGAGCAGCAAGGGGGGAGCAAGAGCCGGCACTATCTCTGGGGGGAAGGTGGTACAGTGGGGAACTGGCAATGCTTCTGCCTTTGAAATGTAGCAAGAGCGGGACTCTTGCTGCATTTCAAAAGCAGAAGCACTGTAGGACCACAGGGCAAGAGGGGGACTCAACCAGTCTCCTGCTGGCCCTGTGCTCCCTGCTTTTGAAATGTACAAGAGCCCTGAATTTTGGCAGGAGCTGGAACAATGATTTCAGCAGTAGGCTAGTAAACACTAAGGTCTGCTTGTTTTTAAACTTGGGACACATGTTCATCCTGCCTATGAAAGCATGTGTGTGAAAGCATAAGGAAAGCACATGTGTACCTAAACATATGGAAAAGTAGCATAGCCGGTGGACCTTTCAGTAAAGGAAATCAAAAAGGTCACCCCAAATAACTTTTGGGAGACCCAATTGCTAGACTTTTAAATTGAAATCCAGAAGTGAATCTATAATCACCCTGGGATGTTCACAGTGCAAAGGCCTTAGAGGCACAGAATGAAGGAACAGAGAATGTTGAGGATTAGGTGAGAACATTCAAGAGGGAACTGTAAAGGCAGAGTTCTAGATGTAGTGGCTGTTTATTATATGGTTAACCAGCAGCCAGGAAACTGGTGTGTGTTTTTTGCTAAGCAGTGTGTTTTCCCCATGTTCCTTCCCCTTGGACTGGTTAATTTCATGCTCCTAGCTACTCTCTTGTAGAGACATTAGTAATTTTCTCAACACTACCTTGTTCACTTTCTTCTGATTTTTGCCAAGCTTATCACCCCCAAAATTGAGTAAAGGAGCTAATTTGAGTCTTGTCATAAGTGGTAAGAGAAGGGTTTACTAGAGTTAGCATCAAAGATTTGAGAGTTTTAGGATGGGGAGTTAGTGTTTGCAAATCTCCTGAACAAAACAAATGCAGTTAGGAGTCTTTGTATTATAAACACAGGTTTTGTTTTTTTTTAAAATAGTGTTTGCAAGTGATCTAGACACAAATTTTCATCTTTTTTGGGGGCTGAAAAAAACCGAACCCCTTAACTCAGAAATGCATCCTTCACTAGGAAATTGATGCTACAGGGCTCACCTGCACTCTGAGTACTGATTCCACCCCAAGGGGAGCTCCATGAGGAATTGTATTTAGGCACAGAATTCCTCTTGTAGGTTTCCAATACACACGAGGAGCACATATGCAGCTAAAGGCTTTTGCAGATGCAGCATCCTCCCCATCACATACCCAGCAATTCCATGCATGGAAGAGATCTAGCTCACCACCCTGCTTCTTCCCTGTGGAAGGAGCATAACAACTGTGATTGTACCCAAATTTGTTCAATGGTGCAAAGATGGCAGTGAGGCTTATAATGCTCTCCTGGATTATATGCCCTGTAGGATGAGGTCAGCTGTTAGTACATTGTAGGAATCACTCACTACTTGACAAAGTAACATCATACCCTGCTATACTACAGTACAGCAAGCACTCTGCTCCTTGGGCAGATGGAGAACAGAGCATCTGTTGTCTCAGGCCACAGAAAGTGAAATTCAGCATTTCAGTGAATCGGCTGGGAAAATAACGTGCTGATCCTTACATATTCCACTAGTCAGATATTAATCAGATTTAGCAAATGAAAACAACTGTACCAGCGAGAGATTAACAGTAATAGGACTTAATGATTACTCAGCATATTTAATCAATCATTTGAAAACAAAAAAATCAGCACTTTGTGAGAATGTAGGCTGCAAAACGAAACATTAAAATGCAAAGCCAGTGCTCATCAAATACATGCTTTCAACAGGGAATTTGAACACAATGTTAGAACAGACTTGCAGACTCTTCGCTACAGAAAAACAAAGGTACGATGATAAACTAGGGAGATCTAAAAAAATAGACTACTCAGTCATTCTGATGGCTGTTGACCTGCTCACAAAGATGGCTGACTTTCTTCCTTGTCATTCCATGCCTCCTGCCCAGCAAATAGCCCATCTCTTCTGGAAATGTGAGGTTTTTTGTCTATCTACCAGCTCAACCTTAGATATAGGATCACAATTTACCTCCCTGTTTTGGGGAGACATTTTTGGGATTCTTGGCAGTTTTTCTCATGTACTGCTCTCAGACCAACAGACAGAGTGTGCCGACTATGTCCTGGAGCAGTAACTCTGCTGCTTCATCAAGTATCACCAGGATGCCTGGACCCCCCTACTGCACAGTTTACATAGAAAACCACCACCCTCTCCTTACTTCAGCAAAGCCACTTCTTTCCCAACTACAAAGGTCACCCTCCACTTTCATCTAGACTTCACGGTGGGACTCTCCATCTCCTGCAGCATACATTTAAATACCTACTGTAGGTACAACATGAACTGTGAAGGCATCTGAAGACTGCTAAGAAGCCATGGCCAGTAAAAATCCTCAGGACACACCAGACTTTGCAATGGAGGACAAAGTCTGGGTGTTTACCCCAAACATACAATTCAAGTGCTCTTCAGCAAAATTAGATCACTAACATATTGCTCCATTCCTAATCATTACATGAATCAACCTACTACCTTTAAGTTATAGCTTCCACCCTACTTTCCATGGCCCTTTCCTGACACCACACACAAAAAAATGCATTTTTGGATTGCTCCAACCTGCTACCCCTAGTGGTAACAGTCCAGTAGGGATATAAGGGACCTGGCAGACTGGGAAGAATACAGTGTTCCCAAGACTGTTCATCTGCATTCATGCCCCAGACCTATGACGACTTCCACCAGGCTCATCCTGACATGCCAGATCCAAGGATTCCTAGAAGACACCCTGAAAGGAGTGGGGTACTGTCACTCAGATGAAACTCACTGTCATCAGCTAATTCAATTAATTAGTCAGGCCACTCTTTGGCCAGAGACACCAGCAGGCACCTTCCTACATTCTGCAGGAGCCCTGCGTCCCAAGCTGTTCAGTAACACTCCATGCCAACAAAAATGATTAGGGTATGGAATGG